CCAAACTTGGCGACATTTTGGTCCCATCTCTGTATCACTGTAATTGATCACTATATTAGATGTAACCGTATTCCAACTTTGATATTTTCTTCCAGTAATTTCGAAAAGCAAAAAGTGGTAGAAATATCTCGGCGGGCCGGTGAAACGTATATAAGGCCGGAGAGAACATCTGCTCTCAGTCTGCTAACATCCATAGATGACTGTTAACTGTTAGCTCGCTCACCTTGAGTTCGGAGTACAATCTCCGGTTTAGATTCGCTCTTTAGAAGCGCTTTGCATTGTTTAGGTTTAACGGTCTTAGTAGCATGAAGTTTCACTATTGATGGTATTCTGTGATACTGTTAAGATTTACAGAAGTATGTATGGGAACATTTCCAGAACTCTGAAATAGTCTTTTGATAAAAGAAACTTTATCAAAGCCTATCCTTGGAACTGTGTGCATTCAATATATAAGGAACCTGTATGCGCGCAACAATAAAAATATTTCTAAATAAAGGAGAATTCCCTGAATCTTTTACAAAATATATAATAGCTTTTCATTTTTTGTTTGCTTTAGAAATGTAAAGAAATGTTTAAAAATCACTCTTTTTTATAAATATTTTAATCTTTTTTTTTTTTTTTTTTTTTTTTTTTTTGAATCTCATTTAATTTTTATCTTTTATCTCAAGAACTTGAAATTTTTCTGTTTCAAGTGCTTGAGTTCTTATGTTTCTTTCTGTCATTTTAAATAATCTGCCATATCTAAAAATATCTGAGAGCATGCGTATTTTGTTATAAAAGCTTGGTATGTGTTAGAAATTTGTACGTTTTGAGGATAGTAGCCCATTTTGATCTATTAACGCTAACATATTTCTTATATTTCCAGTTCCTCGCAAAATAAAAGGAAAACATACAATTTTTTAACAAAATGTTTTTATTATAACATAATATCCTTAACAGGACTATTTACACACAAGGATGATCCAATTTAAAATTATTTCCTTCTATCATATTTGCATTTGAAATTAATTTCTTTTACGTTTGCGAAACTCTGAATGCAATCGTTAGCAATTCACAGCAGAACAGAGAGGGTTGATGTAATGTTATTATCCAATTTGATCATATATTTAACAAGCTATTTCTAAGCAAGAAAAAATACAATATTCATACACAATATAGAAGAAATTACATGAAATATATTTCATAATTTCTTTTTTAAGTGAAAATTTAAGTAAATATTTGTATTAATCGACAAATGGCTTTCTTTCATAACTGCAGATTTGAATGACTTTGAGAAAGAATTATCATCCTAGGAAGTCAATTTATCATTGGTTGGGAAGTATAACTATATTAATGAGTTGGAGAACTTAGTTATCTTGAAAGCTCAAGAGTTCTCATAACTGACATTATAAACCCGTGATTGTTTCCTTAAGACAAGCACGTGAGGTCCAAGTATAAATTTTTAAATTCCTTAAAAATAAATTTTATTTACCTTTGGTTTTAGCTTAATATTTTTAGCTTTTAGAAAATTTGATTTGCTGAAAACGATTCTAAGCAGTAAGCGAATTCATGAAAGTTGAATTAATTTTTATTTGGCAGATGAATATCTAAACATTTTAACGCATAGCAGAGTAGCTGCGAATCGTTCATACTGAAGAATTTCATGACAAAACTTAATACATAATATTAAGGTCAAAATGTCTATTTGCATGAGTAATGGTAACAATTTAATGGTATTTAAAAATAAATGCCATATATTGTCTAAGTACAGTGTAAAACGGAGCAAACCAGGGTTGATTCTAACATATTTGGGTCATGTACATTTAGATGAATAATATTATGCTCTTTGGGAACAAAACTTAAATTTATAAAAGTTCTAAGGTTACGAGACTCCTGCAAAAGTAATGGTCAGTCGAAACGTTTTCTGTTTTGAGCACGTAAGAAAATTTATGATAATAGTTTTGGATATGCTATGATAATAGTTTTGGATATGCATATGCTTGAATTAATATTTGCATTTTCGATTAAATATACTATTCATTTGAGTACTGATATAATTTTAATGCACGGTTTTCTTTTCAAATTTTTCTTTATTTTCAAAATTTTATTAGCACAGACTTTTAGTATTTATTTTTCAAGAAGCGTTGCAGAATTATAGATCTGGAATTGACAAATTAACTATTGAAATAGATCTATTACGGGATACCTATCTAAAGGATCTAACGTTTGGAATCTCGTACAAAATCCTCAAGATTATTGCATGATCTAGACATTTCCCATTTCAAATTAAAAAAGGGTTGGTTAAGCCATATCATTAATACAGGAATCTGAGTTTGAGTCAGTTCAGTAATTTAGTGTCAAAATTAGAATTTACGGCCAAAGCATTGGTTGAAGACCAACAGATTCCGGCTTCGATCTCTTTACAAAGTTATTTAAATCTAATGAAATACATTTGGGTATTTAAATGTCATTTCTTTGTTATCCTTAAAATAAGACAGTTGGCAATGCGAACCACGTTGGTAATTTTAAGTCTTAATTTGGTGTGTTTCTCTTCTGTCAATAAAAACAGTAAAGCTTTAACTTAAAAATTTCCGAACTGAAGAATAGAAGGAAATCATACATGAGCTGCATTATTACTTTTCTTACTCTGCCTGAACAATTAGCTTTAAAAGACTAATGAATGAAATAGCAATGCAATAATAAAATTATACCCTCTACTTCCTTCAGGCACCAACCTTCATCAAGTCCCACATCTCCTACTGTTATAGAGAATCCAATTTCAGAAAATTAGCTCTGCCAGCTCCGTTGAGAAATGCAATGAGTTACATTAGAACGCGTTTTTATCAGTAGTCTAGCATACCGGTGATACTAATGCATCCAATATCAAACCAATGGAATTAAATAATTTCTATAATTGACAAAATTAACCAAATAAATTATACCAGTTCATATTGTAAATTTGTAATAAAAGAGCGATTCTAAATACAGTTAATTGTTAAAAAATATGATCATGCTGTCTAGTTTGAAATAAAGGAATTACAATTTTTTAAAATTACATTATTCCTTATTATTTATGTTTATTAATGAACAATTGACTTTGCTATATTTGTCCATGTTAAATTTGTGATTTTTATCTACAACACATTTATGAAAAACATGTCTTGCAAACTACAATCCCCTGTAGGTTAACATTATACGATTTTAATGTTTTAAAAGTCTCCTTACTATGACATTTTACTTTAAAAAACGCATTTTTATTAAAATTGTCTTAAAATGAAATATCCCTTTAATTCTGAATATTCACAAGAGAATAATATTAATGAGACTGCAATTTTATCATTCCTTTTTCTGTGTCTCATCTGTCTAAACTATTTTTAAATAAATCGTTGATTTATTATTTTACAGTTGTCATAACTTCATGTGTTGCAGTAAATCATGCATTACTATGTAAATAAAAATATATGTTTGAACTATAATTCTTTTATGTCACATTTTACTCAACGAACTATATTTTCATTTTTACACAATTGGCAGAATATTTCCGTGCGGTCGTACTCTTTGATGTTTTCAAGATATATTATCTTACGGATTCTAATATATGAATGTTCAACACAAATTGTTAAAATCCGAAATTAGTGTGAAGCGTAATTAGTGAAATTTGGAACATCATTACAGCTATCGCACATATCTTTTAACATTCAGAGTTCTCACATATCAGTTTATGAATCATCTACTGGAAATCACACATGCGATGTAGTTTTTCTTTTATTTGGCTACATCTCATAGCCATTCAAAATCAGTTTCCTCTGAAAAGGGTGGTACAACTACACAAAATGTTACATAGGGTTGTTGAGCCATAGATGCATCGGATCAAATAAAGAAAGCGGTAAGACGAATTGTATAACCATGAAATAAATTTATAAGTTGAAATTGGCAAGGATAAGGCGTAATGTTTCTTTTACATTTACCAAGTATCAATTCAAACCTTTTCTTCCAGAATTCCCCTCGAACCTGCGTTTTCTTCTAAAAAATGTTTAAGGAGGTAAGGATTACAATAGTGGCCTCAAACTCCATTTATGTGCGCGCTGAATGCATGAAATGAAAGCACCTAACTTGCCCAATTTTTTGAAAAAAAAAATGCTTTTTAATATAAAGTAAACAATTTTACCTAAGTTTTAAATTTTATTTCTTGACTATTTATCAAAACATACGAAAATAGTAATGACAATGACTCAAAAGAAACAATTCCAATTTATATATATATTCTGCTCTGAAATCTAAAGGTTGGTCTAAGTTCTGCAAGACATTTCTGACAGCTACATTCTGTAAATCAAACTTATTTCAAAGCTAAATATTAAATGTTCGATACTGACATTTATTTAAAATAATTTAATAATAAATTAATTAAATAAATGCTGTAATTGAAAAATCAATCAAACAAATAATCCCAGCTCACACTACAAATACTACTATAATAAAAGAACTATACTATAATAAAAGAACTACTATAATAAAAGAACAATTCTAAATGTAGTTAATTATTAAAAAATACGATCTTTTTGAATGTACTAAATAACGTACTTTTTCAACTAAATAAAGTTAGTAAAAATTACTAAATTACTTCATTACTACATTACTAAATTACTTTTAGCTTCAAATAAAAGTAAACAAATTGCGAAACTTTTCCAGGTGAAACAAAACGTGGAATAACTTGGAATGTTTTCTTTTTAAAGAAAACGTATTTTCTTTCTTTTATTTACTAAGTACTCTCTTCTTTTATTTACTAAGTATTTCTTTATCGCATACAAAATAATACATATATTTATATGCAAATAGTAATAGGCTTCTGCACTTCTTATTACAAGTTTCAGCTACAACTGCTCATACCGTTTGATAAATTTTATAACTTTGTAGGAAAATTACTAGAGAATACCTTCATTAAGAATTTTAGATGTTCATCGGTGAATCTGGTTTTATTCTTAAGGCTTATTATTTTTCAACTGCGGGGGGGGGAAGGGGGTGGGGAAGTATTCGCAAAAAATTTTGTTTCTGAAAAAACTATTGGCAATATTGCAAAAATTCGTAACTCAAGGTATTTATCATTAAGCAGACGCGAAAAACATATTAATCAATTTCCATCTTCAAATCTCTGAAAAAAAAATTATTTCACAGTGTAACTTAATTAGCACTGTGTACAGAATTTTAGACGCGATACTCACGTTTAGTTTTAATGGTCATTAAAGTAATGCAAAATTGCACTCAAAATCATTAAAATCTTAAACCTTTTCCTTAAACTCTTATTATAATAATGCTAGTTAACTTACATGCGATGTATTTGTAGGTTGCCAGTTTGAAACCGCTAAACGGATTAAACTGAAAGCTGCCAAAAATGATGTGCAGCTCAAGAAAGAGAAATAAAGTTTTGATTGAATAAGAGGAATTCACATTTCTTTTTTCAGAAAGTTACCGAAGAGTAAGCACATGAAATTGATAACTGCTAACAAGCTCCTACGTTTTTAGGAAATTAGATGATTTCTTTGCAGTAACTTTGGATTAAAGTAAAGCAACTTTTTACTAAAAGGTCGAAACTTATTCTTCATTCTCTTATAAACATTTGCTTGCACATGGATGAACGCACACATATTTTCTATCATATAACTACAAATCATATAATGAATGGCGTGTCTTAATTAGTTTTACTTAAAGCTGTAATTGTAAATTTTAGAAATGCACTATGGTCAAAAGTTAATAAAATGATTTTATTAAGTGTATGAATGTTTTTTCAAAGAATTCGATCTGTATTTTTATTTCTTTAATTTCTCATCTGCATATCTAAGTATTATTAAGATAAAGTAAATTTAAAGTATTATTAAGATAAAGTAAAAGTAAAGTATTATTGAGATAAAGTACTTTTAAACATAAATATTTTTAAAATCGTTTATCAAATATATGTCAATAAGAAATCAGATTACATTGCCAAGTTACTAAAAGTTTTGTTTTCAATTATGTCTTCTTAGATATTAAAGTTATTTTACGTTAAGTCAACACTTAAAAAATAATTAGTTCTATACTCAAGATTTAATAATAATTTTTTTATGGCAGGAATGATAGATCCATTTAAGTACAAATGGAGTTTGATAAATTCATTATAATTTTTAAAAATCGAAAATAAAAATTAGTATTTTCTCCTTAAAATGAGACCCCATTTTGTTCTTTATTTTAAAGCTAATTCTGAAACGGTTACTACAAAAGGGCTTTATTTAATTTTATGAGTATTTTTTGGTCGTATTTATTTGTTTTTTGCCTTATAAAAGGAGAACTTGAATAGATTTTAAACTCAGCTGATAAATGTTTAATAAATAACATTATGTTTTCTGGCGGAATTATTGATTAAAATAAAATGTATGAAATAATATAATAAACAAAATGAAAAAGCAAGATAGAATGACTGCTAATAAATTAATGATTTACTTAGATGTAATCAACGAAATAAGAAATTAAAATTATTAACTCTCGAACACATCCCTTTATTTCTGTTTACTTTCAATAAACTGTGACGGATTTCTGGTTAGACACATAAATATTTTTTTTTAACCCTAGGTAATATTATTTCTAACTGAGTTCATTTATTCAATGTTTGTTGGGGAATAAGGCGAACTTTGTTCTTCTGAAGCGGCAAAAAAATCTGCATCGACGCGTGAAGCAATTTAATGTTTTGCTGATATTCCGCAACAGTCTGTAGTTTCTAGTATTGACCAATTAATTACTTTTGCAACATTTCTAGAATATGCTTTGCTAACAAGTATTTCACGGCAGCATGGGAAGATTCAGCACTGAGCTGCTGCTTATTAAAATGAACTGTTTGAGTTTCCTGAGCCATAGAATGGGAACAAAAGCCTTTTTACGACTTAGTAGGGTGGCTGAGGGTAAAATTGATGAGCGGAAAGTAAATCCTGTGATACATCCCACCTAATGTTAGATACACATGTGATACATCACACGTTTAGCTATATTCATTTCTTAGCAATGGAAAACAATGCATTATAAAGTTATCTCAAGCTACCGCGGGGTTCTTCTCTATCCAAAATGATAATGTTACTTCCAAACTCAAAGATTTTGTTTCATATATTGAGGATTGGTGCAGAAAATGGAGAATAAGTGTTAAAGTCTGAGCGTCTGTTGTAAATGAGGCGCCAGATTTTAAAAACTATATTGAACATCCTTCGCTTATTCAGAAAATTTGTGAACCGTGTAAATGATATAAATTATATAGGGATTATTATTGATCAAAGCTCAGATGGACTTGTCATATTAAGCACATCATAGAACAAAAAATCTCTGGTATCGTCAACCAACTTTCTCTACGCCCAGAAAGTTATTATGGACTGTCTCTCAACAAAACGACACAGGTATATCTATGCATTATAAGGCTAATTCTATGTTACGCATCTGCAGCTTGGGCGTGAGCCTCAAAGGCAGACTTCTACAAACTTCAGGTATTACAGAATAATATTAGAATTGTAAATGCTTATTACCTGATTAGAAACAAACTGATCTATCACTGCTTGAGCATCGACGCTATAGGGGACCATATTATTAAACTTAAAAGATGTTCCTTTAGATCTAGACTTAGCTGTGAGGCTTTACATTTTTCAAAAGTTCTTTGCTACCAAATCATTCCAGAAGATAATTTGATAAAAACATGCGCTAGTCAAATGCTTAGAGATGATTACTTCTTAACCTAGCTTTGACTGCAAAAAATTTACTTGTTTTCTTGCTCAGCGTGACTTTTGTCGCCCTTTGCTTTTCATTAGACAGGCGCACATGCAGAACAGGATGACAATGTTCTCTCCACTTTTACCTCGCTTACTTGATCGCTCTTGCAGTTTCATCTGCTAGCTCGTAAAAGTCATGTGCTCCCAGAAGCTTAACTTTTTTACCTAGCTTATAAAGGTCCTTCTGGGGCCACATAAGCAACTTCATAATCCGTATCCATATCGTATGGTTGTTCGTATAAAAAGCTGCAGGGCAATATGGTGTTTAACACAAACTTTCGTTTTTGCTACTTTTGCTTTGTTACATTATTAATAGTCTTGATTAAGCTTTTGTATAGTGTATTGTGTGGAAAGCGGTGGAAAACATCATAATTTGTGAAGATGATATGTAACATAAGTCATAATTTATATTAAATGGTAAGGTCGCTTCATGATGTTTAAGAAACAGCCTTAAAAATTACAACTTAGCCAGTACCATCCGTGTTTTTATTTGAAAGTTTTAGTTTTGAAAGCTTAACTTTTACACAAGGAAAATAAAAAGTACTTCTTTCAAAAGCTGCAAAATATTTCTATTTGCAAATTATATTACGGCAGTAAAATAATTCAGTAACTGTCATTTTAAGGAAATATAAACTGCTTTCTCATTAACAATACTTCACCTTTTAGCAATTTTGTTACTTTAATAACTATGAGCATGAATATGAAAAATAAATCCTCCATTTTAATCAATGGAACGGTTAGTAATTCAAGATATTTTAAATTAGCAGATTACTCTGATGAGCCTAAACGTCTGTTTTAGGCTTTTATAGCATTACATATTTATATTCCTTACATTTTTTATTTACTTACATTACGGAATATTTTTGCACCCTGTCATAATAAAACAGGGCAAAATTTTAACTTTCTCCAAAAATGGTTATTATTTTATATTTTGAAATAATGTATACATGGAGTACATTAGATGACGGATGAGATTTGCATCACCGCTTTTCCAGATTTGATCCAATGCAGCCTTTATTTAGTACATCTACGAAAATGACATAAGGAACAGATTCGCTTCGAGTTTATGCGACGTCCACCCTTTCGCATGGATTTTGTCTTATCATATGCTTCTTGTAATGGAGGAATCACGATATGTAAAGTACAAAAATGTGATGGAAGTAGATCACCAACAGGCAAAACAGACTGGACAGACACTGGGCTGGAGATCTCGTGGTGTCTCCTGTTAAGCTACTTTCTCCTGTAACGAGAAACAAAATGAAAGATGATAAATAGGAAATCGTTATTTTATTAATTTATTCATATAAACTCTCTATTATATAGATGTAGTCGTTTGGTTGTTAAACATCTATCTGTGTATGTATATCATTATTCATTTTCCAAAAGAACTAACACTATAACTGTCTCATTTTGTTCTGATTCTTATTGATTTAGGATAAAGCTACCAGTGCAAACAAAAATAACTATTTGGCTAAAATGTTAAAATGATAATATTAACAAAATGCTCAGTACCATGAACAAAGTTTGAAAACAAAGAAAAAGGGTTTCGAGTCTTTTCTCTATTAAGTGAAAAAAAGGATCAGAGCTTTTGATTGTCTCGCTGTGTTATGTATGCTATAAGTTCTTAAATCAGGATGCACAATACGTTGCATTTGCATTCTTGCAATTTAAAAAGCGATTAGTATCACTCAAATCTTAAGAAATATCTAGCCGGAATATTTTTCATAATGCTTCACATCAGAAGCAAACTGACAAAAAATACAATGAATATTTCAATAAAAGTGGAATTAATTGATATTGTATCTCTCATAAAGGATTTATACGCAACGGATATTTATAATTTCATATTCAGGTCCCATTTACTATTTCATACTAAAACGATTGGAAGGGAAAATTGGCAGAGGAGTATTCTGATAGGTTAATAAACAGGTAATCTTAAAATTTTCCAAAATTTTACCTGCGAAACAGACTTAAATATCATACACAATAATATATATTTTCCATGTTCTGAATACTAAAATTGCAGTAAATGTTTGAATATAATAATCGGTAATAAAAAATCACATTTAAACTTTTTATTTATAACTAATTCCAGACAAATTTGTTCTAGTAAGATTTCAACGGTGAATTTTTGTCAAAAATTTGTTAAGTGAGCATAATATTTTTTACTCCAAACTTCATAGACCAAAGGAAAGCAATATATTTTATATTAAAAATAGTAAATTTAACGAATATAAAACTTTCTGCGTATAAACACAATTTTAATAGAACTTGCTTATTCTAATAATTTCGTTTCTTTTTGTTAAACTCATTGGAACGGTTTTCAAAACAGAAAATTGTGTTAAAGTTGATATCATTAAAACGTCTAAAATTTCCAAAATTTCTATGTATTTAGTACGTGTGGGTTTTTATATAATATATATTATATATAATTAACACACACACACATGTGTATATATATATATACAATTAATATAATACAACTAATGTTTTGCCATTCTAATAATTTTATGATATAAAATGTATATCGTATTTGCATTTACGCTTAACAAGCAATTACATATCCTCTAAAAGTATTGTTTTTTGGGGTTTATACGTCTAGAAATTATTTATAAACTAGTTGAATATTTATAAAAGTAGCAAAGAATTAACCTTGTTTGGTGTAAATTTTAATCAAAATTCTATCGATTTTGAGGGCGAATAGGTACAAGTCTTCCTTCGCCAGGAGCAAAGAAATCTGCTACAAAGGGAAAGCCACGGGCTGCATTTGCATCCAAAATGAGTAAAGCGAACGAGAAGCTGGCGATATCTAATGGTAGAAATAGAAACGAATTAAGTTAATAAAACTTTCTAAGCATTAGGAAGGAGATTGGATTACAATTAAACTAAACAAGATAAATCTCTGGGAATATCAAAAGCTTCAAGAAAGTCCAAGTAATCATCGGAAGAAGCTTTACGCTTTTAAAATTCTGTTAACTTAATTTTTCAACTTTCTTTACTATTTCTGCCAACAGATGAAGGTCTTTCGCTTTACTCGTTTTTGGTGTAAAACAGCCTCCTCATTGTAGATTTCTTTGTTCCTGATGAAGCGGGACGTGCACCTGTTTACCTTTAAAATCAGTAGAGTCTTGTTTAAAAACTACACCAAACACAAGTTGTTGCTTTGCTAACTTTATATTTTCTATTGGCGGGCTTATTTTCTGTCTTAATTGAATACTCATTTAAATTAATTAACTTACATCTATTAAAGTAATAAAATGTATAATATATTCAGAAAGTGATTATTACACTGAACATGAAGGATGTAATGTAGAAAATGAAAGCTTTAAAAAGTTAGGGTGTAACTATGCAACATTAAGAGTAACATATAAGAGAGAGAAGTAATGAATTTATGTACGCATAAATTTTCTAAAAGTGCCGGTGACAGTCCAAAATTTATTATTGTTTGAAGTTTTTGAATGTAGCAGTTAAATACATTAATTTTAGTTTTCATCGTTTATCTAACTAATTTTCCTACTTTTTAAGCAAACAAATGGACATTAGATTTCAACAGAAATTAGTTTTTATAAAATTTTTGTTATTTATGTTTTCAAGACTTTGCTCTTGAAAACATAGTAAAGTTTGTATGACATGCTACACAAAATCTGAGTAAGAATATTCATTTCTCAGTTGAAAATATTCCGAAGAGCGTTAAAAATAAGTCGATTTCAAAATCTTATACATAATGCATTAACATCATATAAGTAAAGCTGTATGAAAGACTAATGATTTTCAGCAATATTTACAAATGTGAAGTGATATGGCATATATTCGTATGTACGTTATACATTTAATATTAAATAACAAAAGCAAATAATAATATGTTTAACAGTTTTACAATACTGATAGTATCATTCATTAAACTTAAAACACAGTGCCTGAAATTTCCAATTAAAAAAATCAGGTTTAAAAATATTGGTAGTTTAAATTACTCTTTTAATTTTCGGAATTATTTTTTAATTTTCAAAAATCATTATAAGGGAATGAAAAAAATAAAGTATTTTCTAGACATGGATATTTCCTTACTGAATTTCAGAAAGTAAATAAATCTTTTTAAATAAAGCAAAAATATGATGATTAAAAATTTCAGAGAAACGAAACGGCATGATTTCTTTGGATAAGAATACAATATCAAATAATCTTCGATATTATATTTTATTTTTCGCAGAAATAAAACTAAATTAAAGCGTTCTCTTTTATGGTTATCAAAAGATTGATTTGTAAGGTAAACATTAAGGAGTTATATTTAGATCGGTAAACATTTTTCGTAATTAAATTGGGAAAGAAATAAGAGATAGGTATATTATATCAAAACATGTAAATCGACTCTAAATGTTAATTTAGTTATCAGCTTAATATAGTTATTAATAAATAATTTTGTATTTTTTTCAGAAAAACGTGTTTGTATTATTATATATGAGACTTCAGTTTTTTTTTTTTTTTTTTATTTATAATTTTTTTATTTGCTTGCTTATAGACAAGTGATGTTTCTTTAATAATATACAATAGAATTATTGAACATTTAGCAATATTATACTGCATAAATCGTGAATAAATGTTTGTACTATGGAAAATTTTAAATAACAACCAAATATGATAATCTACAACTTTCAGCGTTAAATTTCTGAATTCTTATCCGCAAATAACTACACATTTAGAAAAAAAAGTTTCTCAATAGATTCAGTAAAAGAGCATACCTTTGGTTTTTAATATCTGAGAAAACTCTTCTTTGGGTTCAAAATTTGGATTTTCTGCTGAATCTTGAGGAGAATAATCTTTCAAAAAATTAACACAATTAATTACATTTTATAAAACAAATATTTAATTAGGTTAATTCAATGCATAATGTTATATAATTTTAATTATATATTTAATGCCCTGCGCTAATGAATAAATAAATGATACATCAGCGCATCTGGATTTATGGAAAGATTAATTAGCTAAATTTTCTACCTCAGTTAGTTAGAATAGAAATGGCAACACAACTGAGTTTATGCAAATATTTGTTCGAAACGCGTAATGGAGTTAGCTTGGTTCGATGTTCACTCAGAAAATTTCCCTTGAAAAGCCAGAGTGGACCTCGATTTAAGCTAATTTACCACTTTCCGCTTTTTAATTTTTAATATATTTTTTACTTGTTCCATCGATTGGTTTTTTACTCAGTTTTATTTTTTGCCTTTAACTTGTTCCATCGATTAGTATTTTACTGTGTTTTATAATTTACATTTTATTTCGCCTGTAGCCTAATATGTCATTTCATTCAACTTAATTAGTTTTTTAAAACTGTGTTAAAATTACCGAAAATATTTCACATATAGTTTTATATTCGAACTTGTAAAAACTACTGAATAAGCATATGTTGGATTTTTCTTGGAACCACAGCTTTTGGTAACTTTTAGGCGAGCTATCTACAATTTCTCTTCCCATTTCCTTAATTTTGCAGCACATTAATCACAAAAAATTTTGACCAAAATTGGTCTTTTTTGTATTGTTCTTACAACTTTGCTTATTAATAATATATAATATATATATATATATATATATAAATTTTAATCAAATAAAATGTATTTTACGTAAACATACGTATAGTTTCATATGGCTGTTCCTGAAAGCCGGTTGATAAACTATGTCATTGAGCACAGACGGTGCAAGACATTTTATATCTAATCTAAATATCAGCGCATCTGGATTTATGGAAAGATTAATTAGCTAAATTTTCGACCTCAGTTAGTTAGAATAGAACTGGAAACACAACTGTTTACAGAAATATTAGTTAATTTTAGTCCTTAACTCAATTAGTTTAGAATAGAAATGATCCAGTTTTCTTTATGAAATAGTTTTAAAAACTTTTCCATTCGGAGGGAAATGGATTCATAATGTCTTTTTTAAGGTAATAGAATTGTATTTGGAAAGATAATTTCATTTGAAATACTAACCTAGAAATACGGAAAAAGTTAATATAAATCAGCTAAGAGTTAATTAAATTATTTGTATATATTAGTACAAAGAGTATTTAATTATTACACATTTTTCCTAAATGAAATTATCTATAAAAAAGAAACTACGCATTATGTACGCTGACCTAAATATTTTTTATAAGTGTAATTCAGTTAAACATTATAACATGTTTAAAAGACATAGAGCATTTGCGATCTTATTACGCTTATCTAACATTTGAACTGTTTTTTTAAGTGAACAACATATTAATACTAATATCCGTTACAGTTCAATTGGCCTACTTAATGACACTCTGTTAAACGTATATTAATATAACAGACTATTTTACGTCAAAATAAATTCGGGGTTTACATGTTCTTCATTATTTTTATTAGTCCAAAGGGGCAATTTGCCCTGAAGGACTATTATTTTCGTCTTGGCATTTTGCGTCGGTCCACTATAAATGTCGGATTCACTTTTCAAATTGTTGCCACCAAATATTATCGCCTTGTCTTATATTCAAAAAAAAAAAAAAAATTAAACAATGAAGAATCTGCATGAATGAATATATATTTCTCGCACTGTGATAAAACAACGGTACCTAGAGTCATCCAATTTTGAATAACGTACATTTCCACCCGAATACGGGCATCTGGAAGCCACAATTTGGAAATTGTTTTATTGTCTATTTAATATTTTGTAAAACTTTAATGAATTTTTGAGTAGCAAACTCAACAATTTAAAAGTGAACAATAGCAACACTGTACGGAGGGGAAAAAAACCTCTTTATCTCCAGCGCGGAACTGTGTATCGGAAATCCTGAAGATATGCTCATTTTAAAATTATTTTGCGACATTGCTATTGAACTGAATTTTATGGTTTAAGTGCAAAGAACGTGATATTTAATAAATAAAGGTAACACACAAAACGTTAAAAACGCCCCTTTGGACGTAATTTAAAATCTGAAACCTTTCACATTTTTTATTATTATTTTTTAAGTTCTTTTTACATTTTTCAGATAATAAGCCCCTTAAAATGGAAGTAATATTAATTAACTGTTCATTTTAAAATGGTAAGCCAAAAAACACCCATAACAATAGCTAAGCAGATAATGTCCAGCAAATAACATTTCGCCGCTAAACCGGGATAGCGGTTAGCAACGCTGACTGCCGTAACGAAGTGCTCGGGTTCGAATCCCAGAAGAGGCATGGATGTTGTACAGTGTCTCTGCTGCATGGGGACACTCTGAATATGCGGCAAGTTGAAATTCCTCTCGAGAGGCTGGTGGTAGGGGAAGAGGGGTGAGAGTTCTCCATCAAATTTGGGGGCAGAACTGAAAGTCCTACTCTCACCTTGTATGGTGTTCAAGGCTCTTGCAAACGACATGCGCAATTTTGCACTCCTTGCCACGATGAATTTCGTGGGCTTGTTCTGATGTTTCTTTCAAACAAGTGAAATAAGTCACAACAACAAAGAACATTTTAGTCATTTACCTTTCTTAATTAAATATGCTTGATTTTTACATATTTACAATATGTGTCTTTGTTACTAAACTGAATAATTGGCAATACGTTACTGCTATTTTAGTATATTATTCAAGGCGATATCTGGCCCACCACCGGCTGAGCGGTAAAGTCGCTGAACACTAGTAGTTCGGTCCGAGGTTCGAATCCCGCGAACGGGCTGGCTGCGTGGGTGTTTTCGTGGTTTTCCCCATGTGTAACGTGTATGCGAGCCAGTATCCCTTAGAAAGTCGAAGACATCCCTCCCCTTAGGCAGATAGCCCTAGTGTGCTTTGCCATAATTAAGTACACACACACACATACACATCAAGGCGATATCTCTCAAGTTAAATTATGCTTCCATATGTTATTCATGAATTTTAAGATATCAGAATTTAAAATCACACGTACTTGTTCCGTAAATTATTAGATAAGTCTCATCGGATTTTCCTTATGATATTGAACTAAATTAAGCCCGCGTGCCCTAAAAATGTAATAATGATGCACCTTTCACCTGAAGTGTTACATTATTCGCTACTTAGAATTATATAATTATATTAAATACGATAATTCTGCATTAACATTCAACATTAAAATATACATCTACTGTAACTGTACCTGTATGCCATCACTGTAAAATTTCTAAGAACATGAATGTTTACTATATACTTTGCAAAGTGGTAAACAACATTTTGTAAGCAACTGTTATAAAAACAATAAATCGGTGTCTACCTTTTAATCTGCAGATACATATGAAAACATATAGACTGCATATGAAATACATATTAGCATTTAATGAACGGTTTGTTCGTTTCTATGTCTTTCTCCGTTTCCAGACATTTAATTAAGAGAATTAAACAAGCATGTGTGTATGTTTTTAAAATATTGCATTTTTATAAAATCCGCACTATTTTTGATAAAATTTTACAAGGTTATGTATTTACATGTCTAGTAATTTTTATGAGGGTGATAGTGTGTAAAACATTCACCCTTGTAAAGTGGAGCCTGAGAGAATTAAAATATTTGACTTGTTTCATTTACAGTTTTCTGATTCATTATTAGTTCTTACATCGGTTAACTTAACTGTATGAACTTCCTCACAGATTTCCGCATCTCGCACAGTAAACTCTTTCGTGCATAACATTTTAACGGTTGTAAAATACTAAGAAATGCTACCTAAAAAACAAACCTGCGCAGTAGGATCACCCGACAAATAATACTACAACTAATGGGAACAAGAAATAAAAGGACGCATAAAAATAACCCCCCCGAGTGGTCAGGAGGTAAAATTGCTGAATACTGGTAGTTCCGGCCTGTGCTCGATTCCAGTCGGACTGTGTGCGTGGATGGTTTCGTGGTTTTAACATATATAACGTGTATACGAAACATTCTCCCTTAGAAACTGCTGCACAAAGGCATCCTTCTCTTTAGGCGCAAATATAGGACATAATCAACCGAGCTCTACTCAGTTGATTATGGCCTATATTATGACTCAACTGAACTAGAACAATTAAAAATTAAAAACTAACGCAGCATAATAAAAATTCCAAAAACATGTTTCTACGTGGCCCTTCCTACAAAGTTAGAATGGGAAAACGTAATTTTACCTGATCCGTCCGTTAAGTGTTAAAATATTAGGTTACAAGGAATTTTCTCCCTTCTTTCCCCATGCCTCCGTGGGTTTATTGGAAGCAAACTCGACGCGTATTCGAGATGTTCAAGGTTCGAGTTCCGGGGAGGGTATTGCACGTTTTTCACGTCCCCTCCTTGAATAAAAAAACGAATGACTCTACAAAGTTCTGTAAAAAAGAAGTGCAAATTTAATGCAAAAAGGGAAATATTATCTCATGCAATATGCACTGATCGTAAAAGATCACAAATCGTATGACACATAGTAAAATTCGCTTAGGTTTCATGTATCATTTATAAACTGGTTCATCAAAGCAACAATGCACAACTGTATCACATAATAAACCTGTGATATTAAGGGAGAAATTAAATTGCTTTAGACGTGCCGATCACTGAAGCAGCTGTCAAGGATGCCAGCATTCGCCTCGAAATGCATTGTTTGATGACTTTCGAGTTAATTTAACTACATTACGTTTTGTCCAATCCAACTAATACGCAAAGAGAATTAGTAGGAACTTGCTCTAATTACTGATCTAGAACTGGTCTTTAGTCATCTCGTTCTCGAAGCAACTCTGGAGAATAAATTCTGTTTAAATCTAACTAAGAAATTTATTCATTTTTATGTGATAAACTTATGAAGCGTATTGTTTAAAATACCATACAGAATTCGTAGTGGTATCATTATGTGTTGATTAGTAAAATGTGAT